CACTCTACGCGCATTCGGAGCCATCAGGCATTAGACTGGAGTCTGTGTGTACTAGGCATTTCTGCGACCACTAATAAATAACAAAAAAAAGGCACAATACCGTGACTGGAACGATACACAAATAACCCGCACAAAGTCACACTGTGTGACTTTGTAAATGGTCCAAGTCGGGCCGAAACGTCGTCGTAAGCTTCTCTCTTTTATGTGCGGGTTATTTGTGTACCACTAATAAATCATCTACAAGTTCTACGTTTGTCTTCCAAACCACACACGCATGGCACCTTCAGGAATTTAGGACCACTTCGTGTTATTATCTAGGGAAAAAAAAAGGATTTGTGAAACTTAAAAAAAAAATGCTTACGTTATATATAAGCCCCTGCACATACCTAACCTGTTAACATTTTCAGGGTATTCGGACGTATCTAGAAGTGACAGGAGAGCCCGAAGCCAGAGGAACACAGAAAGCTGCTTATGAGATCATAAGGAAATGGAGATAAAAAGATTCCTAGTGTTGTTGACTATAAACGAGGCTATCATAGCCAACCCCTGTCAAGGACGCCCAGCCCGAGATGCTCTGATCCAAGTGAAACTGTTTTTATTTGTTGCGTCCCCATTCACACCCAGCCACTAATGTCGCAGTTAATCCAGACCCATAAGCTGTCCTTGAATAGTAGTGTTGTTCCTAGAATGTGTGGATGACCTGTCTGGTGGGTTCCTAGACGCTCTAGGGAAAGTTCCCGGTCAGTGTGTATTTCCCGCAGTGGGACCTGGTTACAAAGACAAAAGGTAGCCCGAGATCGCCAGTCGACGCCGGACCTTCAGAGTGTGTACACGTTAACTTGGAAGCTACCTACCCTCAGCGTCTTCACGTGCGTTTCTCTCTCCTCTGTACTTGGTACTTTGCTTGATCCCTCCCGCTAAGAGAACTCTGCTCACTATAAACATTCAGTAGGTGGCAGGGTGAACATAGCTGCCCCAGTATCATAAACATTACGAGTGTATATGTGAGCAACAATTATAACCTCAAACAGTGTTTGTGGATATCAGCAAAGTTGTCTTACACATTACAGTTTTATGTCACTGCCGTTAACATCCACATTACAAGTGTTCATGTATATTAGCATCGTTAATATACACACTGAAAGAGTACCACAGTGTGTGTGTGTGTGTGTGTGTGTGTGTGTGTGTGTGTGTGTGTGTGTGTGTGTGTGTGCGTGTGCGTGTGCGTGTGCGTGTGCGTGCGCGTGCTCACCAAACTGTGGTTGCCGCTGTCGAGTCTCAGCTCCTGGCCCCACCTCTTTGCTGGACGTTACCGGTTTCACTCCTGGATGCATGAGCCAATCATACCTATACTTAGACCTGTATAAGGATTCTGCCTCTACCACTTCGCTTTCTAGGTCGTTCCTCTTCCTGATCACACTAAGGCTAAAGACGTACCATACCCTCGGCCGGGATTGAACCCGCGGCATAGTCTCAAAACTCCAGCCCGTCGCGTTAGCCACTAGACCAGCTAGCCACAATAAGATTCATCCAACTAGGTATTTCCTAACATCCCTGTGATTCAGCTATACTTTTTTATATCCCGCTGTGATATCGAGTACCTGAAACCCACCTCTCAGATGTGTGTGTGTGTCTGCATGCACATTAAGGCAGTGTATATTGCACCAACGTTGTTATAAATATTAAGACATTGTGTATATAGTTGGTATATGTCACAAAATGTAGTAAATTAGTAGACTAATCAACTTCAGAGGTCTTAAAGTCCTGCCACGTGACTGCAAAACGGAAGCCTGTTAACTGTTTTGTACTCGAGCAAAATTCCTAATCTTTTATCTAATAAATACGTAAGATGACAAGCATATCTTACTAATTTCTATTCACATTTAGTATATACTTATGTATATATTTTTAGTTATTCCCAACTATTTTTCATCCCTATAACACCTGCTTTCTAGTTCTATGGGGAAGAGGTTGAGAATTCTTCCCGGTAAAGCAATACGTGTCATATGTAGGTTTATTGAGAATAAGAACTTGATAACCTCCTCCTCTCTTATGTAATTATTTAAAAAAGTGGTAATTTTACTCCTTTTCTTGGGTCTCTTGTCTTAGCTGGAGGCGGCCGTTATGCTGAGAAAAATGTCATCAACATAAGTTACCATAAATATTGGGAGAAGTGTGTGTGTACTTGCCAGCGCATCATAATTAAAATTCATGCAAAGAGTACTGGGGACAAATCTCGCTACCTCACACGCATGATCACTCCTCTCTTGATTAGGCCACACCAAAGTTCGAAAGATCTTGTACAGTCGTCGTCTAGCTGGAACGGCGATGGTCCAGTGGTGTTTACCTGGAGTTTACCTGGAGAGAGTTCCGGGGGTCAACGCCCCCGCGGCCCGGTCTGTGACCAGGCCTCCTGGTGGATCAGAGCCTGATCAACCAGTCTGTTGCTGCTGGCTGCACGCAAACCAACGTACGAGCCACAGCCCAGCTGATCAGGAACTGACTTTAGGTGCTTGTCCAGTGCCAGCTTGAAGACTGCCAGGGGTCTGTTGGTAATCCCCCTTATGTGTGCTGGGAGGCACTTGAACAGTCTCGGGCCCCTGACACTTATTGTATGGTCTCTTAACGTGCTAGTGACACCCCTGCTTTTCATTGGGGGATGGTGCATCGTCTGCCAAGTCTTTTGCTTTCGTAGTGAGTGATTTTCGTGTGCAAGTTCGGTACTAGTCCCTCTAGGATTTTCCAGGTGTATATAATCATGTATCTCTCCCTCCTGCTTTCCAGGGAATACAGGTTTAGGAACCTCAAGCGCTCCCAATAATTGAGGTGTTTTATCTCCGTTATGCGCGCCGTGAAAGTTCTCTGTACATTTTCTAGGTCGGCAATTTCACCTGCCTTGAAAGGTGCTGTTAGTGTGCAGCAATATTCCAGCCTAGATAGAACAAGTGACCTGAAGAGTGTCATCATGGGCTTGGCCTCCCTAGTTTTGAAGGTTCTCATTATCCATCCTGTCATTTTTCTAGCAGATGCGATTGATACAATGTTATGGTCCTTGAAGGTGAGATCCTCCGACATGATCACTCCCAGGTCTTTGACGTTGGTGTTTCGCTCTATTTTGTGGCCAGAATTTGTTTTGTACTCTGATGAAGATTTAATTTTTTCCTCATGTTTACCATATCTGAGTAATTGAAATTTCTCATCGTTGAACTTCATATTGTTTTCTGCAGCCCACTGAAAGATTTGGTTGATGTCCGCCTGGAGCTTTGCAGTGTCTGCAAGGAAGACACTGTCATGCAGATTCGGGTGTCATCTGCAAAGGAAGACACGGTGCTGTGGCTGACATCCTTGTCTATGTCGGATATGAGGATGAGGAACAAGATGGGAGCGAGTTACTGTGCCTTGTGGAACAGAGCTTTTCACCGTAGCTGCCTCGGACTTTACTCTGTTGACGACTACTCTCTGTGTTCTGTTAGTGAGGAAATTATAGATCCATCGACCGACTTTTCCTGTTATTCCTTTAGCACGCATTTTGTGCGCTATTACGCCATGGTCACACTTGTCGAAGGCTTTTGCAAAGTCTGTATATATTACATCTGCATTATTTTTGTCTTCTAGTGCATTTAGGACCTTGTCGTAGTGATCCAATAGTTGAGACAGACAGGAGCGACCTGTTCTAAACCCATGTTGCCCTGGGTTGTGTAACTGATGGGTTTCTAGATGGGTGGTGATCTTGCTTCTTAGGTAGTACTGCGGTCTATAAGTCTAGCTGGTGCCGCAGTGACCTCTAATGTTCCTTACACAATTTTCTAATTTCACGATACTGCAAAATTCTCATTTTACACCACTGATACCTTCACTATGCTTTCATTCACATATTTAATAACTTTACTATACATCCCCATACCTATCCTGTGGGAGGTAGTTAAAGGATTACTGAGGCGCAAAATGGGTCCAGGAATGGAGTCTCAAAGTCTTGATAGCTAAGCAAATTATAGCGGTAATAAACTATTTACATGTTCATTATATGATTATGTTCTCAATAAGTTGCTTGTATCGACATGAATTCCATCAAAAAAACATTACAGTCTAGTTTGAATTATTTACATTATTTTAGCAGAGTATGGTTTCGTTAAACAAGCTGGAGTGAACTGAGTCTCCTGTCGAAACTGAGGTGATATGTATTAACCCTTGTTAGGCCTTGCCTAGAGGTGACCCGTCAGTGAGGTCTTAATGATCAGACTCTGATTTATATCTTGGTGACATCTTTATTCTGCTCTCTGTTATGATAAAATCAGCGCACCATGGATTATTCTTACATTTCCAGGACTGTGTTGGAGTTCACACTGCTTGAGATGACTCGCCTTCACGTCCTCCTCGTCCTGGTCATTACTCTCATCCTGGGCAGCCAATCATCTGCCCATGGCTACCAAAGGTTCCTCAGGTTCGCCCATCACGGAGGTGGTTTCGGCAACCCGGGATTCTTTGGTAGAGTTATCCAGGGAGGTAACATCGGAGGTTTTCCTGGAGGTAACAGCGGAGGTTTTCCTGGAGGTAACTTCGGAAATGGACGTTTTCCTGGGGGTAACATCGGAGGTGGAGGCTTTCCAGGGGGTAACCTTGGAGGCGGTAGATTCCCAGGAGTCAATCCAGGAGTCGGAACTACGAGACCCAACACTGTCAGCAGTGAGTTCCTGAGAAACAATGCTGCATGCAAGAAATGAAATTCTACATATCATATTTTCCAAAATATTGTCCTGAAAGTTTAATAAAAGGTTATATCATTAAAATATTACTTTTCTAAAAAGGACATTATTTTTTACAAGTTTTGAATATTATGCCATATAAAATTTCAGACATCTTTCATCGACTTCTAAAGTAATCATAACTGATGTGTGCCTTAAGTAACTTTGTTGTCAGGATATTATTTCAAAAACATTATTCCCATGTTTATGCGTCACTAATATGTATGTATTTTGCTTGTCCCTGCCTTCCTCAGGGCCTGGAGGAGGCAGCTGTCCACCAGCTCGTCCAGCCTGCCCGGCCACCAGGGCAAGACCACAACAATGCACCGCCGACAGCGAGTGCTTACAGAACCGCAAGTGTTGCTTTGATTCCTGCGTCCAGACCGAAGTTTGCAAGTCCGTTGTTTAATCAGTCCATAAACCAGCTAGTCCGTAGTCCATCAAGTAAACAGTTCAGCCAGTCAGTAAGGACCATTCATCAACAACAGTGGTTGTTAGTAAAAGTGTTCTTGTGGTCCAAAGTATTTATCTACGTTTAATAATTATGGTTACATTTCTAGATCAACAAAATTTCAGTATTAGAAAAGCCGAAAGTGTATAAAATATATAGGAAAGGTGTTTATTTTGTGTATGAAAATAACTTCCTCTTTTATAAAAAAATCTGTCAATTGTTAAATTTAAATCCTCGTGACAGTATACACCATCACAAATAATTCTCAATATATGGAATACATCAGAAAACATGTTTTAGTTACCTTCTGTATGAACCTTGAAAATTTTTTATTAATAAAACATGAATATTTATATTTCCTCGTTTATTTATTTTTAAATATGGATACTTATATTTTGGTCATTGTTCAAAGTGTGTATGTAAATATATAAATAGTTTGAATATTAAACAGTAAGTGAAACTGATCTGCGCAGAATATACACAAAACAATATGTTTGTTAAGTGCTTTTTGGTTTATATGTCATGAAAAATATCACACTAACAAAATGAAATTTACAGTAATACAGTACACCCCACACACACAAAACACACACACACATATAAATATATATAATATATATATATATATATATATATTATATATATATATATATATATATATATATATAATATATATATATATAAGGGGTTTTGTGGGCAAGGGGCTTGGACTTCCAGCAAGCGTGCGTGAGCGTGTTAGATAGGAGTGAATGGAGACGAATGGTACTTGGGACCTGACGATCTGTATGGAGTGTGAGCAGGGTAATATTTAATGAAGGGATTCTGAAAACCGGCTATTTTCATATAGTCGGACTTGAGTCCTGGAAATGGGAAGTACAATGCCTGCACTTTAAAGGAGGGTTTGGGGTATTGGCAGTTTGGAGGGATATGTTGTGTATCTTATATTGTATGCTTCTAGACTGTTGTATTCTGAGCACCTCTGCAAAAACAGTGATAATGTGCGAGTGTGGTGAAAGTGTTGAATGATGATGAAAGTATTTTCTTTTTGGGGATTTTCTTTCTTTTTTGGGTCACCCTGCCTCGGTGGGGGACGGCCGACCTGTTGAAAAAAAAAATTATATATATATATATATATATATTATATATATAAAATATATAATATATATATATAATATATATATATATTTATATATATATATAATATATATATATATATAATATATTATATATAAATATATAGTATATATATATATATATAATTATATATATATATATATATATATATATAATATATATGCAAAAGAACCACTGTGAAAGAATATAGAAATTCCAAGCGCTTTCGTGACTACTCACATTATCAAGGAACATTATCATTGTTCCTTGATAATGTGAGTAGTCACGAAAGCGCTTGGAATTTCTATATTCTTTCACTGGTTGTTTTGCATATTCTGAAATCACCTGTTTACTGTGATCTTATTGCAATTTTAAAATATATAATATATATATATAATATATAATTATATATATAAATTATTATATATATATATACAATATACAGTGTTAGAGCGGTACCAGCACTCATGAGTGTAAAGCCTGAGTTGTGAATGTTGCAACGAGGAGAATGGAGGCAATGGATGTGTCTGAGGGTAGGGGGTCGTCCTAGGAAAGGATAGAGGGAGGGGGTAAAGATGTTTTTGTGTTCAATGGGCTTGGATATCCAGCAGGCATGTGTGAACGTGTTAGGAGTGGAGGCAATTTTTTTTTTTTTTTTTTTTTGGAGGGGCGAGGGGCCTGACGAGCTGTTGGAGTGTGAAGGACTCAGGAAAACCTGTTAGCCGGACCTGAGTATTGAAGGTGGTAAGTATAGTACCTGCACTCTAAAGGAGGGGTGAGATATTTGCTGTTTGAAGGGACATCTGAGCTGTCGTATCTGCGCGCCTCTGGCAACATTATTATTATAATCAAGGGGGAAGCGCTAAACCCGGAGGATTATACAGCGCCTGGGGGGGGGGGATGTGGAAGGCATTCAGGCTTAATTCGGGGAACTGGAGCACAGATCCAATTCCCTAAATCAAGAGCCCCTCACCAACATCAAGGAACCTTCCTTGAGGGGACCTCTGGCAACAGTAATAGTGTGAATGATGGTGAAAGTGTTTCTCGGGTAACCTATCTCAGTGTGAAAGGAACCAGTGTAAAAATTACGAAGGTTCGCCATCTACCAACTGCTTTAAAACTACTGTTAACAAACACCTCTTTACCTTAATGTGATCTTGACAGTGATAATCTATGATAAAACAAATACTGAAACTTTTTCCCCATTAAATCCTATCCCTGTTCTTGTTTCAATTTTTTCTTTCAATTTCCAAATTTTGCAAAATAGGCTGCAATCCCTTATTTCACACACAACTGCAGAAATAATTCTCAGTGAACATATACTTTATCATTATATTTTGTACTGTAATTTAAGAAACTAGTACTACTCACCTTTGTAAACTAAACAATTATATTTTTTTTTATTTTATTATCACACCGGCCGATTCCCACCAAGGCAGGGTGGCCCGAAAAAGAAAAACTTTCACCATCATTAACTCCATCACTGTCTTGCCAGAAGGGTGCTTTACACTACAGTTTTTAAACTGCAACATTAACACCCCTCCTTCAGAGTGCAGGCACTGTACTTCCCATCTCCAGGACTCAAGTCCGGCCTGCCGGTTTCCCTGAATCCCTTCATAAATGTTACTTTACTCACACTCCAACAGCACGTCAAGTATTAAAAACCATTTGTCTCCATTCACTCCTATCAAACACGCTCACGCATGCCTGCTGGAAGTCCAAGCCCCTCGCACACAAAACCTCCTTTTACCCCCTCCTCCAACCCTTCCTAGGCCGACCCCCACCCCGCCTTCCTTCCACTACAGACTGATACACTCTTGAAGTCATTCTGTTTCGCTCCATTCTCTCTACATGTCCGAACCACCTCAACAACCCTTCCTCAGCCCTCTGGACAACAGTTTTGGTAATCCCGCACCTCCTCCTAACTTCCAAACTACGAATTCTCTGCATTATATTTCACACCACACATTGCCCTCAGACATGACATCTCCACTGCCTCCAGCCTTCTCCTCGCTGCAACATTCATCACCCACGCTTTCACACCCATATAAGAGCGTTGGTAAAACTATACTCTCATACATTCCCCTCTTTGCCTCCAAGGACAAAGTTCTTTGTTTCCACAGACTCCTAAGTGCACCACTCACTCTTTTTCCCTCATCAATTCTATGATTCACCTCATCTTTCATAGACCCATCCGCTGACACGTCCACTCCCAAATATCTGAATACGTTCACCTCCTCCATACTCTCTCCCTCCAATCTGATATTCAATCTTTCATCACCTAATCTTTTTGTTATCCTCATAACCTTACTCTTTCCTGTATTCACCTTTAATTTTCTTCTTTTGCACACCCTACCAAATTCATCCACCAATCTCTGCAACTTCTCTTCAGAATCTCCCAAGAGCACAGTGTCATCAGCAAAGAGCAGCTGTGACAACTCCCACTTTTGTGTGTGATTCTTTATCTTTTAACTCCACGCCTCTTGCCAAGACCCTCGCATTTACTTCTCTTACAACCCCATCTATAAATATATTAAACAACCACGGTGACATCACACATCCTTGTCTAAGGCCTACTTTTACTGGGAAAAAATTTCCCTCTTTCCTACATACTCTAACTTGAGCCTCACTATCCTCGTAAAAACTCTTCACTGCTTTCAGTAACCTACCTCCTACACCAACACTTGCAACATCTGCCACTTGCCCCCTATCCACCCGGTCATAACGCCTTTTTTCCAAATCCATAAATGCCACAAAGACCTCTTTAAGCCTTATCTAAATACTGTTCACTTATATTGTTATCACTGTAAACACCTGGTCCACACACCCCCTACCTTTCCTAAAGCCTCCTTGTTCATCTGCTATCCTATTCTCCGTCTTACTCTAAATTCTTTCAATTATAACTCTACATACACTATTACCAGTACACTCAACAGACTTATCCCCCTATAATTTTTGCACTCTCTTTTATCCCCTTTGCCTTTATACAAAGAACTATGCATGCTCTTCCCAACCCCTAGGTCCCTTTTCCCTCTTCCATACATTTTTTTAAAATAATTGCACCAACCACTCCAAAATATATCCCCACCCGCTTTTTAAAATTTCTATCTTTACCCCTCAATCCCGGGTGCCTTTCCCCCTTTTATTTTACCCACTGCCTCACGAACTTCCCCCACACTCACAACTGGCTCTTCCTCACTCCTACAAGATGTTATTCCCCCTTTGCCCTATACACGAAATCACAGCTTCCCTATCTTCATCAACATTTAACAATTCCTCAAAATATTCCCCCATCTTCCCAATACCTCTAACTTCCATTTAATAACTCTCCTCTCCTATTTTTAACTGACAAATCCATTTGTTCTCTAGGCTTTTTTAACTGTTAATCTCACTCCAAAACTTTTTCCTTATTTTCAACAAAATTTGTTGATAACATCTCACCCACTCTCTCTTTTTGCTCTCTTTTTACATTGCTTCACCACTCTCTTAACTTCTCTCTTTTTCTCCATATACTCTTCCCTCCTTGCATCACTTCTACTTTGTAAAAACTTCTCATATGCTAACTTTTTCTCCCTTACTACTCTCTTTACATCATCATTCCACCAATCGCTCCTCTTCCCTCCTGCACCCACTTTCCTGTAACCACAAACTTCTGCTGAACACTCTAACACTACATTTTTAAACCTACCCTATTTAGTGAATTAACCTCTAACGTGTATTTATTTTTAAGCTCATATTAATTCCGTGTATTAGACACTTGGAGAGAAAAAAAGAAAACTAAATTTTAGGTAGTCTGATCTGTATTGTCCGAGATGTTATGTATGTACCGAAATACAGATTAGTATTTGTATTTGGACATATTCAATAACTATTACAAACGTTATAATAAACTGTTTTACAAAAAATACAAAAATGTCAAAATCATAAACCAAAGTGTTAATGTCAAAGATTGCAAACTTGAGTATCTTGTAAACCAACTTAATTAATTATCCGGTAGTTGTAAGTTCATTTTAAGGCTGCCTGAAAAACTCTGTATAACCAGGAGCTTTGTATAAAGTATACCAATAATGTCAACTAATCCTATATCAGCTGTATAATAAAGTATTTTTTTCTTTTTAGAAATGAAGATTATTATTATTATTATTATTATTATTATTATTATATTATTATTATTATTGTTGTTGTTGTTGTTGCTGTTTTATTTGCCGCAGAGAGCGGTGCTTGTTGTCAGTGGTTGTCATC